CAGAAAAAGCATACACTTCCTTATATACACCTTGTTTCTTTAGCTTTGCAAAGCTACCAGCAACTTCTGGAAAGGTTGAATTTCCACACAAGTTAGTATGTTTGTTGTGTTTTGCTTCATGTGTCTGAATATAATGTACTGACACATGCTTATCACAGTAAGAGAGACCTTCTGCCACCTGCAGTTGTACAGCTAGCAAGTTTATAACATTTTGGTGTGTCTTTGGTACCCCACTGTGATAAAAAGGCATCCAGAGTCAATAAAAAACATGCAGTAAAAAGTCACCATAATATTGTAGGCAATACCTAGTAATCCTTAGGGGTTTTGTAAAAGAGGAAAGCTGGCATTTGTTATGAGTGCAGAGCCTGAGCTCTGTTCTAGAAAACACAGTGAAACTACCCTGCTCTCAGTTGTTTCACAGCAAACTTTTCTGATTACCATTGTGCCCACATGCTCACAGTAGGAATTAGGTTACATGAGTACCAGCAGAGCAGCTGCCTACTCGCACAAACCCTACAGACTCAGTTCAACAGAAATCTTTTCAGGAGTATTGAGAAAAAAAAATAATCTGCCACTTAAAGGTGACACTCAAACTCTGCAAGGAGAGAGATGGAAGTGAGGGATAGAAGCATGAGATTTTCCAGAACATCCAACCCTAGCCCCAGCTACAATCTTAAACTGAAAGCTGAATTCCACAAGAGCAGCTCTAACCTCTGGCTTCAACCAAGTCTAGATCCATAACCAGAGCAGAGCCATTCTTCATTGCAAGTCCCAAACTCACATTAGTAACACGGCTTGGGAAGTTTGCTTCTTTTCCCCATTGAAGCAGGCGTTACCTGCTTGGTGAGACTGAAATCTTTTGTCACAGAACGAGTCCCCTGGCTCCCATTTCAGCGACACCAAAGAGAGGTCCCTGAAGGTCTCTGGCTGAGGATGCCGTGTGCTGGTGCTCACATGAGCACCGTGTGCTGCAGCGGGAAGCGCAGCTGCCAGCGTAGCTGAGCCTCAGCCTGTCACTGCAGAAGTCAATGGCCTTTTTTCTACTGACTTTTGCAGGAACAAAACTGAGGCTTGGACTAGCTGAAATGGCCTCTGTATGGGGGAGTTGGTGATTGTTAAACAGCACTTACACTGTATAGCATTTCAGCTGGCTCACATGCCTCAAATAAGCTATTTTGAATTGTTTTTAAACTGCCATATTGCCAGAATCTGCCATCTATTATGGATTTTTAATGCAGTTTGACATTTTGGACAATTTTGAAAAATTCCTAAGGACAAAAGTTGCCTGTCAGAAATTCTTTACTGCGGCTGAGCAAAAGAACAGCTTCACAGGGTTCACACTGCCAACAACGACCATCTAGTTTTCCCCAATCCAACCTGCAAAATTAAGGTATAGGAGAAATTTAAAAACAAAACAAACCCATTCACAAAATAAAAATAAAACTCCCCAAATAACTGACAGAAACATTTCTCTTGCTGGATTTCAAATACAATATTAAAGAACGTGAACTTCTTTGCAAATCTCTAGACACATAGATGTGGTCTGAACATATTGCTGCTTATCTGGTGATTGCCAGTAGTAACTGACTGTCAGTAATCCTCTTTATACAAATGAACATCCAATCTTTAAGTCAGATAGTGGCACACCAAATCCACTAGCAACTTTTCTCCCGCAACATGCAATTGCATTATGTGTGTTCAGAACCTGACTGACTTTAAATTTTTGCCTCTGTCTCCTAGTGATCATTTAAGCATCCTTCTCCCCTTTTTTCTATGAAGCATAAATGTATAAAGCAGACAAGAAAAGTCTGGACCCATAGTAAGAGCTTTTAAGCTTTAAAAGGGACTTCTGCAGGACTCCTCAGATGCCCTGAGCCCCTGCAGTGCTCCACTGAAGCTACTGTGCAGGATGCACCATTAAACATGAGATCTACACCGGAACGATAAGATATACACTGCTCTTGTGTGTTCTTTCAGGCAGTTTGCTGCAGAGAGAGGGAGAGGAATATTTTTTTTTTTTTTAAATATATATGCTACAAGTGCTTTACTCGTGCTTGCACTAGCAGTATTTCTTCCTCATTTTTAAGGCATGGATACTAATCTGGATGTGTGTTTGTGTAGGTGCATATACATGCATAATTATATAATATAACCATGTAAGCATATATGGTTATAATATATATATGCACACATATATGCTTCTGCATGAACACACACAGCATTACGAACTTGGATCACAATCCTATAATTGGCTCCAGTCAGGCAGACCTCTGCAGGCACATGGAGCCAGCTAGTGGATCGAGTGTTCATAAGATGTATATAATATAGACTACATTTTAGTGGTTTTATTTACAGCTACATGAGGTCAGGCTGTGCTACTCTATCTGTTCTTACGTGCCACCATTAGTTAAATAATACAGCTTTAACCAGCTTTATATTTATTTCTGGAGAAAAGGAGTATCCTCAGACATAGTGTTATGCATTGTTGTCTCTTTTTTTAAAAAGAAAACTGCTATGTTAAAATTATATAGCTAGGCTGAAGAACTTCAAAATATACAGTACTAAATTATTTCCTGTTCTTGCTGAGCAGTGTTTTCCAGTATTAATATTTTGTCGCATAATACACCTTGCTCTCTTTCTGTAGAAGCATTAGCTTAACCTTGGAAGAGTTAATACCATTTTATGAGTAATTTGTTCTCACTTTATCTGGAAGATAGCCATATTTGCACATGAGGAAACCCTGTCTTTCCTCAGTTATCTGAATGTTTCACCACAGTGCCTTCCTGCCATTGTACCAAAGGCCTCCAAATATATTGTCTACAGGGTGAACAACTCTAATGCATTTTCCATCAAAGTTATACCATGTGAAGTACATGGGGCTCATTGGAACTCAAAGTTCATCTCTTTTTTTTTTTTTTTTGTGCGTGTGTGTGCATTTTTTTTACTTCCATTTTTCCATCAAAGCTTTGGCTGCAAATACAGGATGAGCTTCTATAAACGTCTGCATCAAATATATGAATACATAGAATAAAATCATCATTCATGATATGTAAACAGTCTAAGAGTGGAATGGGAGTGGACAGATATCAGGAAGATTTTTTTTTTTGTCAGTTATGGGTGTTGGAAGTACGGTTTTCCAGAAGAGTAATTGCTTGTGAAGATACTTGCAATGAAATATGAAGTCCTGTTTTTGTTTTTCTCCATGAGAATGAGCAAAATGTAAGATCTGAACAGCAATGGAATGAAAGCGTCTAATGTATGTGTTTTTATTGGTAGAAAGAATGTAGAAGAGCCATGGTTTTTGCACTTGCTTTATTTGTATCCATGTAAATATGTATCACTCCATTCTTCTGGTAGGAATACAGCATTTTCTGAATGTAGAATATTTCCAAAACCAGCACTATGTTATTCTCTATTGTATAAAATGCTGCTGCTTGATAACATATCTAAAACAGTTCTCAAATTAGCTAGCATGTTTTTTAAAGTGTATTTTGTAATCCATATCTTTACAAAAAATTTCTATGCTTTTTGTCTGACCAAATATGCAACATCTTTTGGATTAAGGATAGTATTTATAAAGGATCAATTTTCATTTTTCTGAGTGTATTAATTTTCTATGCAATTGTCATTGAATTGTTATTGTCCTCAAAAAATTATATTTGATACATTTTCCAAAGACTTCAAAGACAGCTTTAAACACTTCAGATGTCTCTAAATATTTCAATCTGACATTTTTTCCCTGTGTTTCTTTCCAAATTGCTTCTTAATAGAGAACAATTATCTGCCATCTGGGATTCAAGAAAATGAGTATCTTAATTTCAAATCTTACGTCGATTTACATCTTCATAAATCTTGCACCACATAAAATCACCTGAAGTTCCAGTTTACCTGCAATGCCGAGTGTTTGTTATTTATATTATGTATTCCTATGCAATAGGAAGAGGTGCCTATGTCAGGTGTAGAACGGGTGAACCAAATTCTCTGGAAATCAACTGTTTGTTTTCCTCATCGTTTACATTGCAGTGATTTCGTACATACAAATGTAAGGTAGCTATCTGCCACCAAACATGGAAAATTATAGTTCTTTATTCATCTCAGTTCCCACGTTTTGAATGTTGGCATCGGTCTTTAGTGTCTGCTACTTTATAACTGCAGCAGGTGATAGCCAGTAGTAATTTCTTTATCAATCATTGTCTAATCCATTATGGTCTGTTTAAGATTTGTTTAGCCATTTTCATTGTTCCTCGTGTAGATAAAAAAATAATGAAATAATTTTAAAAATGGGACCTGACCCATGCTACAATAAAAATTTGAAATGAAGATGCTGGTACATCATATAGTCTAATACTTCATATAGGCTGTGAGTGAGTGGTTATCTGGGGAGAAGATAATATTTTAAGTTTCTTTTCAATAACTCTCTTAAGATAGCTAAATTGGATAGAAAGTTCTGGAATGACTGAGTCATAAAAATGGATAATGATCCATGTGTTTGTAGTATGTCAGACATACTACAGATACGTGCTGGCAGAATAACCCGTTATTCTTGCAGAGCTCTAAGGATTAAACTGCCATCATTTTACCGCTGCTGGTTCAGTGCCTTACTACAGGCGTGCGGTGAGACCTGGGAATATAGTCAAGGTACTGCAGAGGCTTAATAGTGGTGGCCTAATGGGACCCGTGTTTGTGTGTGTGTGTGTAATTATGAATTGTTCCCCTCACCTCAAGAAGTCCAAGTGTCCTTGTTGAAGCCTTGCTCATATGTCAAGGGAAAAAAAACGATGTTAACAGATACGCATCTCTCAAATCATTCTAACATATGTCTTTTTAATTAAACTGTTTGTTCAAAAGACTAATTTTAAGAACTGAAAAAGGGTTTATGTAATTCACATTCCTACAACAACATTGTTAACCTCCAATGTAATAATTTTTTTGCTATCATCTGTAAAATATTTTTTATATATTGCCTGTACTATGGTAGTTTAGCAATAAATGAGAGGATATCATCTGCTGCATGATTGTTTGGTTTATTCTTAAAAACCTTTATCTTCCTGTATAAACTAATGCCAAGTCACCCAGTCGACTTGTCTTCACCACCCTCCTAAACACAATGGTGTGCCTAAAGATTTCAGAGTATGGAGGGCTTCTTTGTAAACGTGATGCCCAGTGTCCCTATGAATTAAGATCCCGTTCAGCTTCTGTAGATGAGACTGATTCACACAGCATTAACTTAATGAACTTTAATCCACATTAGCAGGTACTCCACAGGGGTTTTGCCCTGCTATAGCATTAATTTGTCTGAGTAAATGTCCTTCCATGCTCCAAGTGTTTTAGAGACTGGGGATGTGCTCCGTTAAATTTTTGTTCAACTAAATCTTAATTCTGCAGTTCTGTATTGCAGACACCAAAAGACACGTTTTCATACTGCTGTGCTGGAAGGATGCCCAGAGCCCATTATGTCTCAGTAAGAGTCAAGTTTATATAGCATACAATTAAAGACATTTACCTTAACAGAATCAATATTATCCTTTGCATTTAAAAACAGAGAATTCAAACCATATTCGATGCATTTGTTGGACATAGAGCAAGCGCTTTGCTTTGCTTATTCACAAAAGCCTCAGAGCAAGAGCCATGTGGAAGTTCTTAACTCCCAGTACGTTGTACAAAGGCTGGGAAGCTCATAAACCAGACAGGCTTCGCCAACAAAGAAGCTGTTACTGGCTAGGAGAGAACATTTTATGATGAGCAAATATATGGCACACAGGATTTTAGCTTTATTCAGCAACAGGAAAATTTAAGTAACTTAACCTGGAAATTCCACAGCTAAGGGCTGAGAACTTGAGCACCTGACCTGATACTCTGGCTTTAATTTATATCTTGGGTCCAAATTACAAAACTACCATAGTACCCCAGATTTTTAGTCTTAACGGGAAATTTCCTGGATTTTGTAGACTTAACTCACTCCTTTATACCCCTTCGACACAGCTGACTTTTTTCCCAGTTTACTTTTCATGGTAGCAGCAAGGAAGAACAATTCATGTTCCTAATGAACATCTGGGTTTCGTATGAGACCTTGCTTGCTCGCGTGCGCAATTGTATAAATACGTGATTTACAAGTTCTTTTTTTTTTGGTTGTTTTTAATACAAATGTAATTTACTCGATTTAAGAAGCTGCCTTTCAGCTTAATACCAGATTCTTTTCCAAATACATCATCACTGGCTTGCCCAGGTGGCCACACTCAACCGCTGCTAACAGTGTGTGGCTCAGAAAAGATGAGCTCACCATGAACCTGTCCTTGTCATCTCTGTCCCTGCTGACCCCCTTCTTGCCTGGACCCTGTCGCAGGCAGCTGTCATCTCCGTGAAGTCGTGTTGGACAGAGGCTGGAATTATTTTTATTGACACAGAGACTTAGGGCAGCGGAGCCCATGCAGAGGATTTGAGCTCCTGCAAAACCAAAGGGCAAGACTGCTGACACAGTGAAATTGCTGAGGCTGTGAGGAACCACTTAACCTAAAGGCCTGGGGGAAGGGGCAGGCAGGAGAGGCTGGCAGGAGCAGCGCTGCATACAAATTGGCCAAATATATCCACTGGAGGTGACTGCAGTACAAAGGCACCTCTTTATTCACCTGTGGGTAGGACTGAAATTGCAGCCGAAATCAAGTGGGAGAGTACGGAGCCAGAGCACATCAAGAAAGGCAGGCAAATGAAACAGAAACAACATCTGCCACAGGCATATAAATAGTAAAAGGATGGATTTATTTGTGCTAACTAGTTTTGAGAGCTCACCTTTGCTTAGGGATTTTGGATGAAATGGACTTTCAGGCCCAAACCTACAGGCCACAGCTAGGGCATGGGGCACAAGCAGACTTGTGCCAAATGAAAAGTGCAACAAAACTTCCTCCCTCAGCTGCGGCATTTATGCCCTGTGATGGGAGGACCCTCCTGGCAGCGGACCAGGACACGCAGTGCAGAGCCCTCCCCGTCCCTGTTGGGGGAAATCTGCCAGTGCTGAGCTGTGCCGCGGGAGCTGTGAGCTTGTGGCAGTGCTGTAATGACAGCCTGGGGTAACCGCAGGGGGAGGCGGGTTTGATCCGTATTAGTCCTGACAGGTGATATCAGTGACTTTTTTGTCAGCTACATTATTTTTTTTTTGACTTTGCATTTTTGTAATGGCAGAAGTTGTCACACATCCATGTGACAACTTTTCACATCAAGTGAACATGAGGCATTCATGCCCATCAAAAAAATCAGAAGCTTGTAGCCCTTCCCAGCTGCCACCAGGCATCCTCACGTCTCGTTGCCTGTGCAGGAAGGCCAAACGGGCTTGGCAGGCTTGCTGCAACTACCATCCGACTTTGCCTATCCCAAACTAAAATTAAAGGGTTTCCAGCATATGAAGAACACCCATGGGAAATGGGGCTTCATTCCTGTCATTTCTGTGCAGTGGGAGCCCTGGGCTACTCCTGCTCATTCACAAAGCTTCCCAGTCTAATTTATAAAGTGGATTCCTCCCGGCCTACAGCGCAGGCGCTGTGGGTGCCGACAGCCAGCAGCACAGGAGCCTGCTCGGGTGTTGTATGGGGACATGGCCGTGGCGAATGGGCCGTGCCAGCCCAGCGCAGTGCTGGGTACGAGTACAGGACTCTGACAGCGAGGAGAATTTATTCAATTCCTATGCCACCAGCTACAGCCCAGTAGACGTGAGGCTGCGCTGACTGCCAGGATCCTGCCTCTGAGTGATACGAAAGGCTCCAGTTTGACCTGCTCCCTGCGGACACTCGTCATTTAGCAAATACTTGGTGGAGCCTTACGGCTGGTGGAACAGCTCACAAGGTTAATGTCGGCCTAAGTAAATTTTTCATGGACACTTTATATAACCTTATTGAAAGTAGGGTATTGTCAGGAAAACCTTCTCAGATGGCTGATTATATCAGCACGGGCAAGCCACTGAAACCTGAGCCTAACAGATGTTTAATTTCTTAGCTTTTTCATGTCAGGCTTCAGAGAAGCAGAGACCTTTCCTGAGTTGAAATCTCCACCCAACAGCATAATCTACCATTGGCACTGAAGTGCCCTTCTTTCCCTATTATTTTTCTCTTTCCCTACTCTAAACTCAAGTAGTTCCATAAATCCGGATCCTTGCTGGCTATGTATGCAGGGTTTTTGCAAGAAATCGTTCTGGCTCCAGTTACTTTTCAAAAGGCCACATAATACAAGAAATAAGTGGAAGGAAGAACTGTAATTGAACCATGCCCACATACCTTACATTTCCTAGGCTTTCATACGGGACTGGGATATGTAATCCCGTGCCATACAGCCATACAACAGCACTGCTCCCCCGGGCTGAGGCTGGGGCCAAAGCAAAGGCTGTATAAAATTTGCTCTTTAGGCTCTCCTTTTTTTTTTTTTTTTGCCCCCAAGGAAAAACTCCGAGGCAGCGTCCCGGCGGCCGGCCGCAGCACAGCAGAGCACTGCCACCTGCAGGAGGCTCACGGCTGCCGCACGGCCCCGCTGCAACCGGGTGTGCGGGGACAGGAGGGGACACGGGGCCTGCTGGCAGCACGCCGGGTGCACCCTGCGTGGTGCACGGAGCGCCTCTGCAGGCGGGCGTGCAGCACCCTCACACATCTCACCCTCAGCCCGTGCCCCAGCTGCGTTTGCTGGCGAAGGAGTTTGCTTCCTCCCCAGCAAAAGGCAGCAAGCAGCACTGCCAGGCGAAGCTCAGGGGTTGCTCCCCCAGCAGACACCCAGACACCCACTTTTCCAGGCACAGGGCATGCACACACAGCATTTCCAACGCCGAGATGCAAGCAAGCAGACAAGCCCCCCACCCACCCCTGCAGGGCTTCCCAGACATCCTTCCCCAGCTCTCGCTAGGCCATGCCAAGCCCAGTAAGTGTTTCATGATTGTGAAAACTATTTTGTCTGGAAAACCTTGTTTTTCCAGCCCTCCATGCAGCCTGATCTGCCTCGTGCCGCTCAGTTCCCTCGTAAGAAAGCGGCGTGTTTCAGCGGGCTGAGCTCTGCCACCGCGCCTCATGCAGCAGGCAGCGGGCGATGAGAGTGGGTGCTGCCTTTCCTATGAATCGCAGCAGCCCTTTATTAAACCGCTGTTTACACAGCTGCTGCACTGCCTGTGTGACTTCCTGGCCTTTTTCTCCTCTCCTTTCCCCCGTACCACACACTCAGGCAGCCGCCAGGAGCCAGTAGCCCCATTTCACAGACGGGAAGGCCGCAGGAATGGCAGGCTGTGAATTCGGCCCCCACCATTTCTCTGGGTCACAAAACACAGAGCAGGCTTGGCAGCAATTAACCTTTTCTTTAATTATCCCTCCCTTCTTTAGAAACAGGTTAAATGAAACGTGTTTTTTATAACTAAAGAGCTACATCTAAACAAGATCTATTTTGTATTCATTATGGTCCAGGACAAATCTGCTTTCCTAAAGCTGCATCAGATAAAGCCAGATCTTGCTGGCCAGCCTCAGGCCCTCCGAAATACGTCTAATGAGGAAGGCTTAGCTGCTTTGTTTTTCTTACCCAGGGACATGGCAAGAGCTCCATCAGGAGAATTTAGGAAATAAAAGGGATTTGCTGAACAAGAAGAAAATCTGAGGACAAGGGTTCTTTTTTTTTTTTTTTTTTTTTTTTGTGTGTGTGTCGTATTGATTTTTATTCCCAGTTGAGAAAAAAATAATTCAGTATGGGAAATAACCAGGAATCTTCTCCCTCCTCCAAACATGAGTGACAAACTTTGTTTCAAATATGTGACAGCAGGTTGGAGTGTGAACTTTCCCTGGCTGGCACTCCAGGGCACCACGTTCAACCCTGCTGGCTGAAACCTCGGGACCTGCCCCTGACAGAGAAGCAGCCCTGTCAGGGGACTAGGAGCCCATCATGTGCCTGATGAGATCTCCTCTGCATTGTGTTTCTTTAGTTTCGGAAATAAGCAGGTTTGAAGCAGGACAGGCTGATTCAGAAAAGGTGTCAACGTCCTTCGGGAGCCACTCACCTGTTTGCAGCTGGTGGTGGCTCTCGCCTCATGTCCCCCAGGTGCTGGTACGGCTCCAGGCATGGAACCGACTGCAGGTGAGGATGGGTCACTTCTCAGCGAGGGTCAGCTGGCAGATGGTTCATAAGCAACTGCGGTCAGGGGCTGACCTGGTGGCAGCCGAAAATTAACCTGGCCACCACTTTACCCAGCACAGTTTTCAGTGACGGAAGAATCCAAGCGAAACAGCAACAGAAGAGACCTAAATGCAGTTTGGAGACACAACAATTTAAGAATGGCTGCAGGATAAAATGGCTTCCTTAGAGAATTATGCACATTCACATGCTTGTAAGTATTTAGTAGGACATTCCATCTGGTTGTGCTTTTGGAGACAAGATGCTCTTCTAGCCAATAAACTCCTGTATGAATCAATATACCCAATTTTCCACATGGGAACCTAAGCCAGAAGACTCCCTGCATTAGCTGTCAATCACAGAGAAATGAAAACATTGTAAAATTTTAAAATTACAAAATTCCTTGGTTCTATCCAGTGCTCTTCATCCACACAGTATAAATTTCTCAAGGAAATGTTATAACCTTGGTTGCACAGATGGCAAACCTGAGGCCTAGGGAAAGGACTCACCAAAGTGCCAGCTCCAGCAACTGGAATAACCAGGGACAAACCCCAGTTGACCATAGTCTGAGCCCAGATCAAGAGCCATGCTCCTTCTGCCCCCGATTTATGAAGTAAGAGAAGGCTGCAAGCATCTCGTACTGAGGAATGGCCCGAAAAAGACATGGGGCTGGCAAGCACGGGCTGGCGCTCAGCGCTGAAAGGTAAGCAGGCGCCACACCAGAGTCCCATATAATAGTCTGGCACGGAAACCACGGTTCATAGTGACATTGTTGCTGTTGGCACCAGGTAGCTGGTACAGGAGAAGGAGAAACACCACCCTGTTATTCTGCTGGCCTTTGTTTCTGATTTATGGCTCCCTCTAAAGTACAAGTGAAAGGTATTCACTTTACTTATGGCATGTGGTAGAAAGTGGGATTGCGAGAATGGCCAAAATACCTCCTACATTTGCTGCAAAGACAGCAAATTCCAAGTTTATTTCCTCTTCAATGGGTACAAAATTTGCATGCTAATAAAGAAGGCACTGGGGAGTTGTTATGAGTAGAAATTCAAGATATATCTTCTACCCTGTAATAATGTGGTTTTGTTAATCAGCGTTCAGTCCCAGATCTTGCTTTCAGATGCTGGGATTACGCTCCATGTATATTGACATTATACCTGCCTGACTGCGCTGCTTCCCTTGCCGCAGCTCACCACTGGTTTGGGGATTATTTTTTTCTTCTCTCCTGTGGGATTAAAGCAATCTGAATGGAAGCATGAGCTCAGGGCAGGAGATGATTTGCAAGTCTCTGATTGGGGTTCACAAACCAAATTTCCAAGGGAGAAGGGGGTACCCCATCACAGGAGGACACTGGAAAATATGGTAACAGGCAACATACGTTAGGGAGTAAATCTGCATTAGGCTGAAATGAACAAGGCATGTCCCTGTACGGAATTGCTCATTCTGATCCAGTTCATTTTCTTGAGCTTGCATTAGAATTTATACGTGTTAATAATGCTTAATAAAAAGGCATTTTTCCCTCTGCAGTGCTACAGCCAACCAAGATGCAGAATCTGTTGGTCTGGAAGCTTGAGTTAAAGCTTGCACAAATTACAGAGGCTAATTTATTACTTTAATTGGATTCTGACTTCTCACATGCCTCATACCATCTCTTGGTTCCTACTTTCCTTTACGCTTATTCTATATGAGAGCACAGGGATTGTTTTAGTCCCAACAGTTTATCTGTCTTATTACATGAAATCTCTCATACACTTTCCATGTGATTAAATTTTATTTCATATTAATTAATTCCAATTACTAAATAATTTATATATGTTCAATTATTAAATAATATGTGAAAATAATTAATTTCATATTAATTTAATTTAATTTCATTTATTTCATTGAAGACTTTTCTTTCAAATCATAATGGGGACATTAGTCCAGTCTTTAATGAGGAAAACATTGATGTCACCAGTGAATCAGTAATCACAGGTGGCAGCAAGTGTAGGAGCCTCAGCAGCGAGGAGTGAGAGCCATGAAGTGGGGAGTCTTGGCCCTACGTACTTCTCACCTTGCTGTAAACCCAGCCCAGGACTTACCAACACTGGAGGCAAACTGCATTTTGTCAAACTTAGCATACAGGGCTAGGTCCAGCTGCATTCCCACTGTGGGAAGGAGAGGAGAAGGCTGGAGGCGGTATGGGCACAGCAGGGAGAACAGCAGTAGGATCAGTCCTACCCCAAACCATCCATAAGAGAGAGCCACCGGCACAGAGGCTTTTAGAGGGCTGGCACCATGTGCCAGACAAGCTTCTCTCCCTGACTGGCAAGACGGGACCCCTCATCTGTGCTGTGCTTATAGAGCAATGTTTAAAGCCTATTTCATTAACCTGTCACATTTTTTTATTGTTCATCTTTGTGTAATTTTAAGTATACCTCTCTAGAGCAGTGACTCTCTGAGATGTACTGCAGCTGAATTGTCGGCACCGTCTCTTCAGTCATCGTGTTGCACATCAGCATGCACAGAATCAGCCCACTGATAGCATCGGGCTAGTGTCCCAAATCTATTTTTGTTTGCTGTAAAAAGAGAAAAGAGGGGAAGGAGAACTTCATCCCATGAAACATTTTTCGTGGTTGCTGAGAGACATCTAACTTTAAATCTCCCTAACGAATAAACACAGTGCACTTAATTTTGTTTATGAAAACAGATTTATTGTGATGGCAAAAAGCATGAGTCAGTGCCCTGACTGAAGGGGTGTGCTGCAGCTGGAGACACTCACTGAAAAGCAATGCCTCGGAAAACAGAAGAACTCTCTTCTCGACCAGTGCCAAGAGATGCAATTTCTCCTTTAACAAAAACCATGAGGATCCAGGGACAGGAATCAGGCTTCCTCATGGCCTGGCAGTGGGTTGTTGAGCAAGCATTGCCATTGCTATGAAAAAGCTGAGAATTTGTGAATGAGCAGCATGTGCTAGCTGACAGTGAGTGCCATGCGCCCAGCCCAGCGGCATCCTAAGGATGCTCCTCATGAAGTCGGCCTGAGCCTGACTTGCAGGTATGGGCAAGAGCTGCTGCTGGTCCCTCCATAACACACAGCAGAGAGACAGAAGAAAAGGCGTCTCTCTCTCTCTCTCTCTCTATATATATATATATATATGAGCCCCCAAATGGGGCGAATTGCTGACTCCAACAAGCATTTTTCTATTCTTCACTTCCTCTCAGACATTTGCAAGGACATTTATTTTACTTGGACAAAACGAACATTGCTACAGTGAGACCAAAAGCAGGTGAAGAAACATGGGAATTTGGAACTATCACTGGGGCTCCCTGGCCTCGTTAAGGTCTTGAGGTTTCAAACAAGCAAGTGCAACAGCAACACTATTTCCTTTAACTCATTTTATTGTCTGTACTCACCATTAGACTTACTTCCCATACACGTGCCCCATGTTTTGAAGTGGAGTGTCTATTGTGGAAAATGCCTTTAAGGAGCCCCGAGTTGCTGAGTATGTTGTCCTTGTTGTAGCCACCAGCTCTGTGTCACTCTGCCACCAGCACCCTTGCAGGGCGAGCCAAGAGGCCAGGCTGATCAGATCTTCATCTCACCCTCAGCACATTACTGGCGCTTCATAAATAATGACAGCCCTTCCTTCAGATCATGGGCCTTTTGTTTTTATTCCTCAGTTTCACTGATGTAAATCTGCCATGTATGCATGAGGCCGTGCCATGGTGATGAATGATCCTGAATAAGGACCCACTTAGCCAATTCACTGTACAGAGTTTCATTGTGCGGAGGAGGGTTAACACACAGGGCTCTGTTCAAACAAAATGAGGTAAACAGAAGTTCAGTGCTTTTCCTTCCTTCCTTCCAGAAAAAAAAAAAAAAAAAAACAACATTTTCCGAAGGCCAAGCATGGAGGAAGGAAAGAAATTTCAATTCAAAAACTAAAATTGCTCATCCTACATTGGTGTCTAGGTCAGACAGGCAAATATACTGGACATAAGTATGAACAGCATCAGGAGAAAGGTTTTTAGACACCACAGTGAAGGCAGGAACAGATGCCACTACATCTACCCAGAAGGCATATCAAGCTACCCAAGCTCTCTAAAAATGTCCCCAAAGGACTAACCAGGCAGAGATTTAAAACTCTGTGGGTTCCACTTTCCGTGTAGGGTGGACAAGAGCCCATCACTCCGTAGGGGGTGGCAGCCCCAAGCCCACACAGCAGCTGGTGCTGGCATTACCACTGGTGCTTCGGTCCCCTCAGCTGCTCAGTGCCCTGTACGAACACAGCTGGCGGCTTTCAGCGGGGCTGAACACAAAAATACCGCAGCTGCAGCCTCCAACTATTACATGCTTTTAAACATCCAGTCCGTTAGGACTGGGACTCTAAAAATTGAAGATAGTTAATAAATTAGTAGAGTTTCCATACAGAAACTGTAGTTAATATTGTTGCTGTTCAAACGACTAACCAAAAAAGAGTGATAAGATTTTAGCTATTAATAGCTATTAACTATTGAGGTCTGTGCTTTGCCCTACAACCACACAGTCATTTAATATTTTCAATTATTAAAACACGCTCTCTAACAAGCTGCAGCAAGTATGCCACACGTGCTCACAGAGGAAGGCAGGGCCGAAATGGGACTGGTGGAATTACATCACTAGAGCCTAGTCTCCTGGATGAAAACCACCAGTTGTAGAAAATCTGCACAAACCAATGCCCTACAGGGAAAAGGAGAAGAATTTGGGCAAGCTGAAAGGTCAGCGTCCTGCCACAGGCAAGGCACCGTGAGAGGGAACAGGGCACAGGGATGCCACTGTGGGGGGGCTAGGTGGCAAGATGGCCGCTGGGGGGAGACAAAATGGCGGCTGGGGGGAGACAAAATGGCGGCTGCGGGGGGCAGGATGGCAGCTGAGGGGGACAAAATGGTGGTTGTGGGGGGGGCAAGATGGCGGCTGGAGGGGACAAAATGGCGGCTGGGGCAGCAAAATGGCAGCTGCAGAAGGCAAGATGGCGGCTGGGAGGGGCAAAATGGCTCTGGGTTTGTAGTGCCTCCTGGGCATGGCTGCTGTGGCTGTCACATACACAAGGCCAACCCAGGGATTTCAAATGGATTTTGCATGAACACATGTTTTCATACGGATACAAAGCACCAAGGTGTGTTGAAGGCCACTGATTCTCCTGTTGTGGTAGTTCAGTTGCTTGTACCTTGACTTGGTTAATAGTATAATTCGTTTTCTTTCTCACCCAGCAATGCCCCAAGCAAAGTTCACCATGTTAAAAGGAAACTGCGGTTTCAGAGGGTTTTCAGCATCCTCCAGCAACAGTAACTGTACGTTCAGCTTAATAATTCTATTAAAAGTCTGTTATGTCTAAATTGGAGCCTTAAGTAAATGAAGGATGAGAAGCAATAGTAGAATTCTCTCAGTAGACCATGCAAGTCACAGGTTGGTGCTTTCTGTTACTGTAATTCACAGGAAAATTGCCTTAAGAAAATTAAGACTCTGTAAGCCAAGACTTTTTTGTCTTTTTGGTACCGTATTTGTCCTCCAAAGCTTAAGATAGTTGAAACACACACATCCTTTTCCAGTTCCTTTAAAGTCTGTGATGAAACAATGATTTTTCCTTTATCTTCAGTACAAAACCAATTCTTCATCTGCCACCAAAACACCAAAGGAAAGAGGATGTGGCACCAGCCCAAATGAAATGCCAGAAATTTCATGCAAAACCTGTGGAAATCATTTCTCCAGTTCTTACAAAAGCCACTTTCCTGATTCCCTGGTTCCAGAGCATGAAGCAGGAGGCACCCAGCAGCATCCCTGACACCACAAGGGCCTGGCTACATGACTTGCCATTTACTTGTGCTGTAATGCACCTGGCACAATGAGGTCTTGGTCCCTTGTAATAGTCATACATGAGATACTGGTACAAAGAAATAATGGTGAATAATAATTTTCCCACCAGATCTATTTGAAATAGTTTGCATCCAAAAGTACTTATAATTCAGGGGGGAAAAAAATCTATTAAAAACTAGTTCTGTGGTACTAAACTTGGCTCAAACCAGCCTCTTAAAAAACAAAAATAAAAACCTAAGTACTGTAGATTAGTTGGCTTTTCACCAACCAAGTCTTGATTGAAAATCAAATACAGATGTGAACAGAAAAAAAGCAGCAATTTCAGCTCTCACAGCAGCCGCTTGTTGTTGGCATGCTCCAGAAAAATATCAGTGCAAACTGGTACCGTCTGGACCACTCTGTAGCCTTCGTGGCAATTACGCAGCCAGAGTGTTCCTGCTGTCCCTATTAAGATAAACAGTGCTTTTCTGCAACAAAGAGAAAGGAGGGATTAAGACAAGAAAAAAGGACTCAGATGGGAAAGCTTAGTTTTCTTACAGCTAAAGGGTCTTTGTGCAACTCAGTGCGCTAAGAGTGAAAGCATAAGCCAAGAAATTCATCCTCTGGCTTGTCCCTGACAATGTCTAAATAGGAAGAGTCCTCCTGCACATGGCAAATGGGGACTCTGTCACCCCAAATTGTAACCACCGGCCAGAGAACAGCACCTGACTGGGAAGGGAGAAGATGAGCTCTAAAGAGTTTTAAACTCCTTTAATTTAAAAAATAAATGATGAAGAAAGAGAGAGTGTGATGATAAAAGATGTTTTGTGCTGTACTGGCAGAGGAGCAGAATTGATGATGTGATGAGTCAGTTCCCTCTCCATCATTAACAATCCTCAACATGCATCGTCCAAAAGCAGCCTCTGTTTGAGATCCCTTACTGTAATATCAGCCATACTTTCCTTGGGACAAGGATCTGTCTTCTCTCAAACTTTACTATTCTGTTGGGGGAAAAGTATCTTTTTTTTTTTTGTTTCTATCACCATTACAAATTCCTTTCGGGACAGACAAGCTGCTTAAGTAGCTGGTTGTCTGTAGGGCAAGAGAGAACATTTTGTATCAAAATAAATTTCATGTGAATGATACTATTTATTGTGCTAATCTCGGACTATTCTAATTTGCCATACCCAGAAATACTAAGAGAATTAAACATGAAATGTTGAAAACCATATCCATTTCTACATGCAGAGTCTAACTTTGCTGGATTCATTTTTTATTTTTATTTTTTAGTTCTTGCCATAAGCTACCTGGCATTCCCAAACACCCACTCCCTTGCACACGATGCTTGCAGTGGCTATCATACAAATGACACGTTGTCTTTTGGCAAAAAGTTGCACAAAGTGAGGCTTGACTCAGAGACCTGTTCACCAGCAACTGCACGAAGTCTCCTCAAAGTTTCCTACAGAAGCAGAGCCAGAAGGTCTCTCTTAATTAATTCTCTCTAGAGAGTGGGAATTTGGAACATCTCTGCAACACTAACTAGCAGTTTTTAAAAAGAAAATTACTGTCTACAAATACAAACAGCCCCAGATGCATTGGTTTTCTTCTTTCACTTTGTCCCATATACCTACAACAAAATAATCTGAGAACGGAAATACCATTAAAACAGAGAACTGGAAAAAAGATCCTTACATTCGAAAAGCATTCACTAACATGGCCATGGATAAAATACAAGGTCTGGTTCATGACTCATCTCTGAATCTATAACTATTTTTAAATACCAAAGTACTTTGACTTTTATGTAGTCATGACGAATAGCAACAGGCAACTGAATTCACATCCTTAATGTGAAATATTTTATTAAAGACAGTTCTCCACCTAGCCATCTGCTCTCTCTCCCGTCTTTCCTTTTTCTTGGTTCTTCATCTTGGACTCCTACCTCTTTTTTCTCCCAAGAGAGCATCCAACCCCAAAAAGCGCTCACAACATTGCAGAACCATCTTGAAAGAAATGTGGAAATATTCTACAATTTTTACAGGAACAGCTTTTGTACACTTTACACAATAAGATACTGCATATTTCTTAAGAATAAATTCTTTGAAGCTGTCTCCATATTGTTCAGCCATCATTGTTATCAGCCTCAGCAAAAGAAGAACAAAGTTAGCACTACTTAATTGCCACATCACTTTGAAAACAAAGATTTTCTCTACTTCTGGCTCTGGTATCTCCTGGGATATCTTTTTCACACAATATAACAATCCCACTTTGAAGCTTCCTTCCCAGCACACAAGAGGTGAACGATTAATTAATGATGCTATTCCAAATAATTGTGTACTGCGGTTGCACTCCTAGTTCTTCCCTGAGAGCCACCAAGCACCTTGCATGTGATTTGCTTAGAAACTCTCAGTTTGAGCAGCTCCAGATCTCCTGTGAAGGACTAACATGCTCTCTGTGTCCAACATCCGGGGCTACCAGAGGTTAAGTTGGGCTCAGTGCTAGGGTGCCATGACTTCTACAGGCTGCTGTCACTGGCACGAGGAACACCTTTCCCTGCACAGTACCTGGGAAGGAGAAGGTAGAAGCGGGGATGGAGACAGCTGAGCTGTATCTGCCCCTGCTGAGGCAGGAACAGCCCAGGGACATGGTGATGGGAGAAGCACTGCAGAGGTAACCAGACGTCCTTCTATGCACCGTTTTGCCTGCAGACTTTGGGCACTGCAGGCAGAAACTTAGTGTACAATGATTCACATCAGGGACACCAGCAAGGAAGCATGTTGGTTTCTATCTTTTAATAAAAATAACTGTTTTAACATTACACAATAAGCACGATCTTGCTGCAGAGAACAGTTGCTAAACCAGCTTCAGATCTTTACAAGCCTGCAATCCTCAACAGAGAAAGGGAGGGAATTCAATTTGGAGTTAGAGATCTGTGAATACCTATTTCTGCTGGGGAGACTGGCAGGACACCCGGCTAGGGAGAGAGCACGGGTGCGGGGGAGTTATTGTGGGCAGCCAGAAGAGGCTCACACTGGCTGCAATTCAAAGCAAAACATGTCATAATGAAAACAGAAGGAACGGGACTTGTTTTTTCACCACCTATTAACTCTTCAGTGCTTTTCTGCTTCTCCAGTTTACACTTACAAACATTCACATATTCAGTGTTAAGGCAAGATCTAATTCATCACCACTGAAACCCCAAAACATAGGTCACCGGAGGGCTTGGAAGCTCTACATAAGTATTATTTAACCTTCACTAACACACTTCAATCATTTGAGCTCAGTCAGATGGGATGGTACCATCTATTTTAAAGAGCAAAGCGATGCATCACAAGGCAAGCCACTAACAATGCTCATTAGCACAAACGAATTAAAGCCAGGAGTCCTGGCTTATGGTCTTTCCCCTCCCAACTGGAATCTCTGCCTAATCAGGTTCTTTTCCTCCCATCATGACAATGGCATATCAGAGATCTTTTCCAGCCCTGTAAGTAACCATTACTCCATGAAAACTGTATTTCCTAGTTTATTTTTTCCATCCTGCTTGCTTTGTGCAGGGGGGGCATTCAGGCCGCTGCAGCTGCCGTACCCTGACAGCAGCCTTTCCTGCCCCGCTGCAGGCAGCAAGGGCCTCTCCCAACCCATCCCTTGATGCCACAGTTCAGACAAGGTGCTGGTATTTCACAGGTAGCCCCTCAGATACCCAAGGGTTTAAACTGTCACAGAAAGGACAGCCTGGATGTCTGGTCCTCTAGATTATGGGAAAAATCCATCTTCCCCAAAGGTTAACCCAAGAGCGCTTGGTCTCTGAGCCTGTCTGCAGACAGGCTGTGTGCAGCGAGCACAGACACAGGGGACGATCTCCATGACGTACAAGTTTCTGTTCACTTGGCAGACTGCTGGCCTGATGATAATTTGGGTCCAGTATACACACACAGTGTTTCAATCCAAGCTCAGGATTCATGCTGGAAAGCTGAACTCCGTATATGCACAGCCCTGCTTTTGTCTAATCCACTCAGACTGTGCTGATGAGAGCCTGGGTCTCTACAAAGACACCCATTTTGCTCAAACTCATGCTTCAAGACAGTGAGAGCTGGATGCAAGCCTGCGCCAAAGCCTGCATGAAAGCAAGCTGCTCGTGGACAAGTCTGGACTTGGACATGGACTTGAACATATGGTCCATTAACAGCATAAACCTACCCCAAAAGCTGGGTGATCTGGCTCCTCCGAGCGTGATGCCTGTTGACCCTAAAACCTAAAGATCAATCATGATTTCAATAGCAATAATTTTAGCAGAGCCTTCCAGCAATTCTGGAGCTGGTTTGTCAGCTTTTCTCCTGTTGCCAGAATGGACACCAGTGCTTGCACTAAACCCAAATCCTTTCAGCTCCTTTGCTATGCAGCTCTGTCCTGCACTAGGACAGCCTAAGCCCAAAACTGCTTGCAAGCTCATGGAGCATGGCTGGGGCCTCCACCCAGCAGGACTCAGCTCCTTTTCAGCCCCATCTGCCAGTTGTTACCTGCTTGCTTTGAGGCACTGAGTTTCTATCAAACTGCGTGGCTCTGCCATTTATCTCCCACGTGTCAAAACATGCATCCAGACAGAAGTACGTGCAGTATTTGTGCTACCACGTTCACAAGAGAACGACCACGTGTGGGGATTTGGACCAGATGAGTGCTGTTTCAGCATGAGGCCATATCAGTCTAAGCCACTCAGGTTACATCCCTACCTCCTCGAGTGGGACGCAGTATGTACGCTGCTCACTTTGTCGTTCTCTAGGGGAACGCATGGCATCTGTAATACATTACCATCTTTTCAAAGAAATGTTGTCTACATTAAGTAGAAGTATTTAATTAGCACTTCATTTAGAGCATGTGGTACAGCTCACAGTTCCATTTTGGGCCAGAGATGATTTTCAAGGGTGGGTGGAAAACAGCCGAAAATGCCAGGAGGCCAGAGTAGTTTGCAACAATCACTCCCTGCTTATTTCTGTTTTCACA